AGAGTGATTAAGGGTCTCCTTCCTCAATTAGGCAAAACATCTCACTCTTGTTGGCAAAGTGCCCTGTAAGATATACAATGGAGTCTCTTTCTAAGATGGAGTTAGTTATGCCCAGGGTGCTGTGTGCATGGGCATACATCAATGGCCCATAGGCGTGACTCCCTCCAGGCCCCTCCAGAAGAAATTCAGAACAGAGAACTCAGTCAGAATTCAGTCCTCCGTTCCCGAGTCTCTGGGTCTGTGTGATAGCGGTTGGCGTTTTCCACCTAGGGGTAGCGGTTTCTGAAAGACTTGAGAATGTATGTTAATGTTTTAGTTTCTATAGGGAAGCAAACCACCTGTGGCTGTGGCCTGCGTGGGAGACCCGTGCTACCATCACCTGCCTGGCGGGGTGCTCATTTACCTCTCAAGTCTGGCTAGGTGCTTGCAATTTTCCTTGAAGGGACGCAAGAGTTTTACTTGATTTCCAAGCTTGGGAGAGCCTGGCAGGCACCCAGGAGGGGTCCTTGCCCCATCTCACTATGTTGCCCATGTGGGTCTTGAACTCCTGGGCTCCAGCTGTCCTCCTGCCTCGGCCTTCTGAGTGGGACGACAGCTGTGGGCCACTGTGTAAGTGCCTGGTGGGTTCACATGCCCACTGCCTACACAGAGCCATTTTATCAAGACAAGGGAATGGCAACGGAGAAAGAGTCACTCAAGCAGAGCCGGCTGTGCGGGAGACCAGAGTTTCACTATTACGGGAATCAGTCTCCCAGAGCATTTGGGGATCAGCGTTTTTAAAGATGATTTGGCAGGTAGGGGCTCTGGAAGTGGGGAGTGCGGATTGGTCAGGTTGGAGATGGAATCATAGAGCTGGAAGTGAGGTTTTCTTTCGGTCTTCTGTTCCTGGGTGGGATGGCAGGACTGGCTGGGCCATGTTACAGGACTGGGTGGTGTCAGCTGAGCTGTCCAGCAAGGGTCTGCAGGATCTGGAGCACTGACTGACCTTAGGTTTTACAATAGTGTTATTACCCCCAGGAACAACTTGGGGAGGTTCAGACTCTTCGAGCCAGAGGCTACATGACCCCTAAATTGTAATTTCTAATCTTGTAGCTAATTTATTAGTCCTACAAAGGCAGACTGGACCCCAGGCAAGAAGGAGGTCTTTTCAGGGAAAGGGCTGTTATCAATTTTGTTTCAGAGTCAGGCCATGCCCGGCCATAAACTGAATTCCTTCCCAAAGTGAGTTCTGCCTACCCCTCGGACGAACAAGGACGGCCTAAGAGGTACAGGCAAGGTGCTCTCTCTCACTGTCATTATTTCCTCAGTTATAATTTTGCAAAGGCAGTCTCAGCTGTGCCCTAATTTTGTGTAGTCTTATGGTTTATGTGTGTCTCTGTGAACGGCACAAATTGAGTGTTTTAAAAGCCAGTCAGAGAATCTTTATCTTTTAATTGGAACTTGAACCATTTTACATTTCATAAAGCATCAGTGATAGATTTGGGTTTAGAGCTACCATTTTACTACGATGTATTATATTTCCTTTGGGGTCTGTGGTTTTTTTCCTTCCTTTTTTAGCCTTCTTTTTGATTTTGAGTATTTTTTATCACTCTGAGACAGCCACGGATAAAGGGCTCCCAGGAGGAACTCCAACCAGCTGCACACTGGGAGTGGGGGCGGGGCCCGCGCACTGGGAGTGGGGGCGGGGCCCGCGCACTGGGAGAAGGGGGCGGGGCCCGCGCAC